ATCGATTTAAATTCCAACGAGAAACCACGCTACAACACGAAATTTCACTCGAAAGCACAATATCTATAAATACACAAAATGGCAACAGTTGCATGAAGTTCGTTATGCGTTTAAAACGATTTACATACCAAAAAGGGTTGGACCGAATACACCTAACTGTACAGAAGTAACAGTGGCCATACCCCAAAATGAACTAGTCAACGAAGACGAACGTGTGTCTCCCATATAAATTGGTATCCTTGGTACCACCAACATGTTGTTTGCAACCGGGACTTGTACTGGAGAAACTTCGCTACATCACAGTTGAGTGACCATCGTGGTTCTGACATGGTAAACTTCGGCAGATATGGACAATATATGGGAGTGTTATTCAAAGGATGGCGTTTCCATGTACAAATAAATACACATGTAAACTGGAAGCCTTTGCAACATGTACCAATGCGGATATTCATACAATTAACATATTTATCATTCAAATCTTGATTTTTACATTCAAAGGGATCACGTCTACCTGCACCTGCAACCATGCTATGACTACTTTTATTTAGTTCACTATCGGGGCTCCGTCTGTTCACTCGTAGGCGACCAACAGTGCGTTATGTATACAAGAGGTTTGAAGATTTCACAAACTACTGTGTAACCCAAGACATTCACTCACCGTTGCGTGCGTGTACGAGCCAAGTGTAACGTTACATACACTCTGGGACAACTGTACTACAAGGCTCGACAAATGCAAGATTCAAAAGCCAACTTTACAAGTACGAGTAGCCTGTGAATAATATGTCCATCTTTCATATGATAGTGACCAGCACAGGATCAAAGGTTACGAGAAATGGCAGCTTGGTGTCTGGACGAATAATTCCGTCATTAAAACAGTTCCACTGTTGATTTGACCCCAAAACAACCTTTGAATGAGGGAAATTTATCATCCGGATACACTTTTCCGCCTGTAAACTGGTACCCCTGAGTACATACGATGCTAAATGCTCGGGGTAAACTGCATCGCCATGGTTCGCTATCCCTAACAACCACTAAGATGTACTTAACCCCTAGTAAGAAGTAGGCGGGCCGAGAATACAAATTTCCATATAAACACTTAAATTGCAGTGTTTTCTGATAAAACAACAGTGGAAGAGGGAATTGTACTGTCTGGTCGAGTAGTTTTTCATTTGGCGAAAGGAAGGCGATGGGAGTGTGAGATGAATAGAAACTGACGACTGTATCGTTTCTAAAGTTCTAACTTTCTCCAGCCTTAATATTCTCGTTAATATCATGTTTCGCCACTTTTATATGACTTGATCTGTCTGGCATCGATTGGTAGTAGTTTGAAGTATTTTTTCCAACCCAATGCACAAAACCACCTCCAGTGTCATACTTCAGGAAGTAGTACTCAGTGGTGGCCATCGGGCATACTAACACCCGCTGAAACACTGTATCATATTTCAGTGTTACAGGTAGTACCATCATTACTGTAACACTTGAACGGTTGACCGAACTGGCCACCTTTACAACCTGTCAAATCAAATTTCAACAGGCCTGGATGACTGCCATGCTGGGCTTGGGAAGGAGTTGTGCAATGAGCTATCATCCTGTTTTGCTTTCAAACTGATAAGTATTCTCCATTCGATTGAAACGCCATGGAACAGTGATGACAGCAAATCCTACGGATCGCATAAATCGAGCGTATTCCATTGGTTCTGCATTAAATTAGCGTGGTTAGGGTATGATAGAATACAACTTGGGGTTATGAAACGTTAGACGAGGCTACTAACTACTACGTAGTACTACAGTACACCCCAACGCGCATCGAAATTGCATCAAATAAACGCAAGTTCATTTACAAATTGCCTGCCTCGAATGTGCACCGCAGTTCAAATTGCCACACCAAGATCTGCATGTTTTTTCAATCGGTGTAACCAGCCCTGCTTACCCCAAAGCGAAAAATGTAAAAAACACCGACGCAAGGCCTTCTGCGCATCACGGGGGTGCGACAGGCAAGTGTACCAGCACCATGTGTGCGTCCGCCATGGGGGACGGGATCGAGTTTGCGTAATGCCGGATTGCTACAACTCGGTTCGAGTGAGCCTGCTTTGTAGTTTCCACTCCTCCGTGATCCCCCCCGTTAAATGCGAGCGCGGGGGCTGCTCCAACATGGCGAGGGGGCGTCCGCATTGCGTTCGCCACACCCCGAAGGTGTCCTCGGCGAACAATTTGAGTCGACCGACGACGGCCAGGGCTCGACAGGTTGCCCGGGAAGCCTCCCGAAGGACCTGGATGGATCACGAGACGGACTCGTTATGGTTTGGAATGGACGACGTCCTTTGGCCGGAAGTGGATGCAATTCTGTCCGAGATGGCTACAATGGCGTTGATGGTCGACGAATTGGACGATATCGTCATCGATTGGCGCGAAGATACCATCCCCTGCAGCTTCAACATGACGTAAGCGGCACCGCTTGATGGATTTGTTATCATGTAAAGTTATATCGTTGTGTAATCAAAATGGCATATCCATGGACACGAGCTACATATCAACTGCATGGTAAAACGAGTATTTGTGGTTGTCAAGTACGAGGTGAACGACCACTTTGTCACATTTGGGTTCGTGTTTGCTGATACCCTAGGTACGATCGAACTGAAATCTACAGTCCAATGTGCTTGTTATAGTGGAACATACGTACAGTACACCGTTGACCGTTAGTAGTGCGGACCGCACTAATATTCAACCTCGTCACCAGACCTACGGTACATGTATTAATTAGTGCAGACCGCACTATTTGTCGCTTTGATACAAATTTGGGGAGGGGGTGCCATCGAAAAACCGATCCACAATCGATCTGATTGGTTGAATTTCATTGAGAAGGTTTTGATTGGCTCATAATTTTGAGCTCATCTGAGGTAGCCAATCAATTCGATTTAAATTCCAACGAGAAACCACGCCACAACACGAAATTTCACTCGAAAGCACAATATCTCAATCTGCACTCATTATGTATGGGCTTGGAGAACTTAGTACGGACCGCACAAATTTTGAATAACCTTATTGAGAATTCGTAAGGATTATTATCTTGGTCTTTGTATGTGGGATTTGTCCTGAAAACTCACATCACAAATCGGCATTGCTGGAAACAGTAGTCCATAATAGTGCAGACACATCATGGTTATTACAGCAGGACACTTGATGGCTTTCTATGACTACCAGAGCAATTGGGCATCGTGGCATACACCCCAAACACACCAATAATATGGCGCGAAATTGGTCCACACTAATTACCAACCACAAATTTCTGCAATTCCATCACACATGTATTAGTGAGGACCCCACGAATTCTGAATCCACACTAATTCTGCATCCACACTAATTCTGAATCCGTATTAATTACAGTCAACGGTGTACCTATGTACGTTTTTGGGAGGTTAACTTTTCAACTTTTTGTCGGATTTCGCTCATTTATTGTTTCAAATCTCTTCATGTTTTGATATCGATTTATCCAGTCCAAAGCATAATCCTGCTCAACCTATCAAAGCATATGTGCTATAGTATTGTTATCGGAATCCTGCAAACTATTAAAAATAATATTGTTATCGGTATGGATGAAACCGATAACAATACTATTATTAACAGTTTGTAGGATTCCGATAACAATACTATTATTAACAGTTTGCAGGATTCCGATAACAACACTATTATTACTAGTTTGCGTCAGCCAGGATTCGTTCGGATTTGAATTCATCCATAGTTATAAATACTACTGTACTACTAACGTTAGTATGTTTTAACCCTGCGAGGTACTAAGGTAAAGCAAGCAGCTTGTTGATTAATTGCCAATATGCCACAGCTATATATTCTTTTCAAATCTATTATTGCGCGTTTGTCGTAACGTAAAAATTCGACCAAATCGTAACGCCAGTGCTCACAGCTCCAATGATTACCGCCCCCACAAGCAGCACCAACGGCCCAAGCTTGGCTCGACTGAAGACAGATCCGGGCTCCAACTTCAACACGAACGCCGCGGGGAAGCAAAAGCACACGACGCTTGAGCAAGTGCCGCCAATAATGCCAAAGATCACGTTGATGTTGGGGCACACGATAGCCAATACCAACGACCCCACCACAAGCGCTACAATACAACATCATTATCCTGTAATATATATATATATATATATTATTTGTCCAATCGGTTCGAATTGTGTAAACGTTTCAGTAGAATATCATGAAAATGCATGTTGGATCGGATGGCTAGCCAATATATGAAATCTTCACCATCATGAAACGTTGCAATCAATCGACGGTTAGTGTGACCCAGCCAAAACAATATCTATTTATCCCATATATAAAGAGGTCAAACACACACACACACACTTTCGACAACAACATGAGGGACACACCTGTTTTTGTCATGTTCTAAAAAAATCAACTGCCTCTATATATATATACTTATTACTCCTATATATATATACATCGAATCCAGTGCTAGCTGCTCCTACACCTCGTCGTCGTCGTTCGTACCTGTAGACACGACCACGTGGCGTACGAGCGATTCCTTGGCTTGCGCAAAAAACATCATATCGATGCTAAATCGACATGGAAATATGTTTAGCGGGTACGCCACCGCCACAGTGAACGTGATGGCCGCGCGCGCCAGCGCAATGAGGACATCCGACATTGGAAAGCTGAGGAGGATGTTGCCTTTAACATGGGGCTCAGCTAGAACAGCCCCGAACGCCACATATGCCACCAACCCAATGGTCAAGTAAATCCACAACGAAGCGTACGCCGCGCAGTTGACGACCTATATATCAGTACAAAAAAAAAATAACACGTTTTGAATCATATATATATATATATATAGAATGGGGTGTTATAGTCTTACCTTGGACATGCGACGAATGCAAGGGCGTTGGAGCTCAGTGAAAATGGAAAACACATTGGGCTACGGATGGTATAAGATCAGAAAACCATATTTTATTTTTATATATAAATAGGATATATGACTTTTGATACATGTACAAACCTGTGAAAATGGATCAACTCATTTTTATATGGAATGTCAAAGGTAAAAGTGGTACTACTGTACCTGGTTTGTGAATGCAAACATGACAATCGGCACCGACAGCATAAAGTTGGGCCCGTGCGACAGATTCATACCCCAATCTACACCGTAAATAGAGTTAATTACACTATTATAAGCTATAACTATCATAAGAGAGAAAAGTAAAAACCATACCCAACTATGCTACAACGACCATCCAAAGAATACAGTCAAAAGCCATCGATCCACAAGCAAAGTATATATATATATACAATTGTAAAAAAGTAGAAATTTAGGATAGAAATCTCGGATATAACGACAAGCCAACTCGACATACATGCATTCCTAAAATATAACCTCCACTCTATCCACTTGTACATATCCTAGTTGACAATATATCCATCAATTGCTACACTGCACCATGTCACATACCACGACTCGAACTACTCCAACAACCATAAACAATATGTTAGTGTATTTTTTACATTTTTTCACGTAATTAAAACATATTTAAACGTTTTTTTTTATTCGAGCTATTGCTAAATAAAAAATAAAAAATCCACATCCAAACAGAATACATATGCAACAAAGGAGTCTTGTCCACTGGTTCATATTCCACATGAATGTTGACATATTTCGCCATGAAAACAACTATCATTCTAAAAGCCCAGTAACTAACTAGTTCGTCTCCAACCAAAATACGCAATATATATATATATATATTATATTGAAACATATAATTGTGAATGAAGTTTTTTTTACCCAGAGAAGTCGGCAGTCCATCGTCGTGGATGCGCATGCCCGATCGAATCGCGACGGCCACGACGAGGAATACAATGGAAAAGACCCCCAGCATAGACGAGAACTGGAGCGAAGACACATCTTTAAGCAGAGATAGCGGCAACATGATGGCGCCGCAGAAGATGGACATGAGGAACGGGCGGGAGCTCCCGAGGCTGTCGGGGCCGAAAAACAGCAGGCCGAGGGGAGTGATGAGGTCGCCCAGTGTCACCAGATATGCGACAGCGATCCCAAAGCTAAACACGAGGATGCACACCTCCACAAACAGCTCGGCGCGCTTGCCAAAGCAATACATGGCCAAATCTTCATACGATTTCAGTCTAATAACCAGATAAACGTTAGCGTGTGAAAGAGATAAAACAGTACACAACTGGGGTCAACGGTACAGAGACTAGAGATAAATAGAACCTTGTGTTTGACAGAAAAAGGATATATATATATACGATTATATATACGATTATATAAATATATATATACGACTATTTATGTATATATATATATATAGTTAAGTCCGCTAGCTCCAAAAGGAGCTAGTACGCGGCCTACTAGGCCATTAAGTGCCCGCTGAGTGATCTTAACTTTACAGCGTAATATCAATATCAATATCTCTATATATATATGATTATATATATATATGATTATGTATATATACATGATTTTTATATATATATATGATTATTCGGTAACCAAAAACTGATATTGTTGATTCGAGGAATAGCCAGAACAACGCTAGTGTTGAAATAATCCGTGAAGTCATTTGAAAACATGCAACATTATTGTGAGGATGTGGTTCAATCGGATATATATATATATAATTATATATATATCAGATTGCACTATCTACTATCTATATTTTCTCAACATCCTTATGATGCATATTTGATGACTCCAAGATGGGCAAAATGAAATAAATACAATATCGAAAATCACAAGGCAAGAAACGTCATAATAGGTGGTGTCACGACGGACGTACTTGGTGATATCCCCCGCGCGCATGAGCAGACTAATGGAGTAGATCGTCAGGTAGGCGGCCAGGAACAGCTGCGCCAATGCGAACCCAACTCCAGACACCGCCACGGCGTATGGGAGGCTGAGCGCGCCCGCCCCCAGTGTCGCGCCCATCAAGTTGAACACCGAGCCTCGAATGGACCCAGGGGGTGGAATGAACACCGACGACGACGAGGGCGACGGTGCCGCCTGCGCCTGCTGGTGATGTGGGAACTCGCTCGCTTCGGCGTCCCCGTGGGTCTACATGTGAACGATCAGCATGTGTGGTTCCTCGACGAACGAGGGTATCGTACCGTGGCACGATCCATCTTGCGCGGCGTCGTGACAAAGTTCACCATGCGCTACAACACCACCACATGAATGCCATGACGCTTGGACACCAACGGGATGGGGACGCTCACCTGGAAGATCAGCGGCACGTAACCGAGCTTTCGCGTGTAGGCATCCCGCGTGTTCGCTGGTGACCCATATGGCGGTACGGCCTTGGCGGTAGCCCCCACGGGCAGCAGCGGCTCTCGGACCGTGTTGTTGCTCATCTTACTTTTTCTTGTGGCAAATGCAGTTGGATGCAAGTGCAACCTTGGCCAATCGGACTTAATAGAGCTTCGATCTTTACCATACAAACATTATAAGCTCTGAATCGTATTTAAACGGATATGTCGCTAAAACAAAAACGGACTTTACTGGGACGTTGAACTTGCCGCCGAAATAATAATTTGACAATAGAAATACATATATATTTCTCGTTTCACCGTATTCGGTGATATTTCAAGCTCGTTACTGTAGTATATTGCGCAAACTTGTACGAGTACAATCCCAGTGTACGGAACTTGTGCTATAGGACCAGGTATGAGTTCAGATGGGGGCGGACGGTGGCGACGCGCGGTGCTACTGTGTACGGATGAATAAGTGATTATATTAATAGCAGTTAGTGTAGTATTTCGAAGTAACTATTGTCGATTTGATACAAATTTGGGGAGCGGGTGCAATCGAATCGCACCGACCAAACCGATCCACAATCGATCTGATTGGTCGAATTTCATTGAGAAGGTTTTGATTGGCTAATAATTTTGAGCTCATCTGAAGTAGCCAATCAAATCGATTTAAATTCCAACGAGAAACCATGCCACAACACGAAATTTCACTCGAAAGCACAATACTAGGATATTATTATTGTCTTTGTTTTACCCCAAATTTGGTTGACTGTTGTGCTGATTCTTTGCCAAATCTATCGATCGATTCTTTGTACTGAATTTTGTATGTAAAGTGTTGTCGTTGTGGTGCTTGCAATCACACTAAATGAAGTCACACACTATATACTGCATCGTATTAATAACATCCCAGCGTTTTGTTTTAACGTTCAGGTTGTTCGATATGATAAGTCAATACTAGTACTACTAAGTAATACTAATACGTACTATAGGGGAGTTTGCATGTGATGATGTTTCAACTTGAATTGGACTTCCTAGACTTACACTGTACCTTAACAACCATATAAATTGCCTCACAACGAAATTAACTGGTTGTTGTACAGCAGTAGAGACCACTGTACTACTACTGTACGTACTATTACCCTTGGAAAGCCTTTTACTAGCAATCAATACTAGTACTACTTCAAAGTACGTACTAGTATTACGTACTAACTTAGTAGTACTGTAGTAGTATATATCTACTGATCTCCACCCTTAAACGAAACGGAGCAAATTATGCAATTCACACAGTAAATTAACTCTTACAGGTATTTGCAGGCTGTCTGAACCAACCATTTATACATGCATTCAAGCGCTGGGCGTCTCCAAGTCAGAGCTGAGTATGCCAGTGCGTCTCCAGCAGTTTCTCACAGTGGAAATGATGTCAT